AAAGCGAGACTCTATCTCAAAAAAAAAAAAAAAAAGACCAGTTGAGTCAGTTCCTTGGTATAGGCCACTGGTCTGGGTGGGTCAGCTGTTCCACTGGAATGCAGGATCTGGAAGATACCTTAGAAACTACCCCTAGGTTTCAAAAAGGTGATATCTATAGAGAAAGCTAAGAATCTTTATGGATATCAGCTATGGGGAGAAAATTAAGAATCTTTATGACCACCAACTGTGTGGCTCCAGAGTGGCAATTATAGAGAAGCAAATGGAGACAGCCACTAATTATTATCATTATTTTTAGCTAGGCCTTTACCATAGTTCTCGCCTTGTACCCCGTTATTGAAGGGAGGTTTCAGGTTTGGGCCCAGACCAGGGGTGGGGAACGTTTTCATGTTGGAAGGCTGCATTAATTCAGCTGTAATCAGATAAGGCAGCACTCAAGAAACTTCAATTAGATATACTTAGAAATGTACATTATTTTGTAAAAATCTAACTACTATATACTTAAGAATTTCAAAAAATGAAAACTATTTTTCAATTTTAAAATTAACTAACCTTTTAATGACTTTTTTGTGCCTGCTTTTTGTTGGAAAGCATTTGAATATGTGGTTGCAGCATGGAGGTCCGCAGTTTCAGTTGATCCTTTACATGGCTGTCAGTCATTTGTGACTTTAAGGGTGTCTTGACTAGTTTGAGTTGGATCAAATAACATTTGGAATTGAAGCAAAATGTTAATAATTCATTAACAATTTTGATTATTCATACAATCTTAAACAATTTAAGTTTATTTGTACTAACATCACAGATTTAGAGTATTTATGAAGTATTAATATTGCTAATAAAATAAAAGATGTACACTTGCTTGCATTATGTCCAGTGTTCATATACCAAAAATGAAAACTTCAGCTCTTCATTATTCAACCACAGATTCCTATAATCTGCATGCTGTAAGCATTTCTGATTACTTCACCCTTTTTGATGCTCCTGTTCCATTCTGTGTTGCCTTTGACCCCCTTGGCCTAAAACTTGGTCAAATTATCTTTTTTATTTCTTTTAGTCAAAGAAATAGGATTGTATCACCAGATGAAGGAAACTTAAGTTTTTTACATAACTTAGAAAGGGTGCTGAAGATCATTTAGTCTAGGTCTGTTACTTTAGACGTTTGGGAACAATGGCCTTTTTAGCCCTAGAGACTGGGTGGTGAAAATCCATGTTACAAATAAGAAGACATTATATAGTTATAACTTCATATTAATTAATTGGTCGTGGTCTACAATTTATCGATTCATTGCCTGCTGTACACCTTCCCCTGGTCCCCAGCTAATGGTTAGGCCAGCAGTTCGTAGGTCTCCACCTTCAGATCTATTCCTTCTACATATATGACTCATATTGATTTTGTGTGTCTGAAAAGATTCTAATGGAAATTCAAAAAGTAATAGTTTAAGTGGTCTTATCTCAATTTTCTGTTATTTAGGAATATATTTACCTTACCTTAAATGACAAGTTTTAGTTTTTGTTTCCACATAAATGTTATATTTCTAAAAAGATTTTGAGAGAGAATTGCTGAAGATAACTTTTCTTTCTATTTTAGATGAACAAGTTGTTATGGGAAACAAGCTTCTTGTATATATTAGGTAAAATTTTTTATTTATTTATCTGTGTATATGTTCTCTCTCTATTTTCCACCATATTTTTAGAGATACTATTATCTGCATAGTGCTTTTCATTTTTCAGAGTTCTTTTATGTAGAGCAGTGGTTTTCAACCATGGGTGATTTTTGTCCCCTGCCCCTCAGAGATGTTTGGCAATGTCCAGAGACATTTTTGGTTGTTATAACTGGGCGTAGAGTTACCTCATAGGTAGAGGTGAAGGATAATGCTAAGCACCCTGTAATGCACAGATTAGTCCCCACAACAAAGAATTATCTGGCCTAAAATATCAATAGGGCTGAGGTTGAGAAGCCCTAATGTAGAATATTTTACTAATACTTTTACTGCTGACAACTCTGTGGGATTTGTCTTGTGTCTAGTGTCTATTTTATATATAAGGGCAAGAGATTTGTTTAAATCGTGAAAAAGTTAGTGACACAGGTAAAACTGGAATGTTCATCTCCTGACTCCTGGAGCAGAGGTCATGCTGATAGAGTATGCAGGCTCAGAATTAAGTCCTGATAGAACTTTTGGATAGACAGTTGGTTAACAGGAAGGTAGGAAGATGGCAGAACCTGCCAGAGCATCATTTTAGCTTCTATCTAGCATCAGAGTTAATTTTGAGCCCCGTTACACACTTGCTACATTGATTATTTAGTGTAGATGAACATATGCAGCATTTACCTAGTGCTTTATCCTCTTTACTTTAAACTATAGAATATGTTAGTATCCAATTGTCTCTAATCTAACACTGAAAATTGATGACTAGTTCAAAAAAGCTCAAAATTTACCCCCACCCCTCAAAAAGAAATAGAAAAAAAGACGACATATTTGGAAGAGATGGGTATGTTAAACAAGTAAATGTTTAGAAGACATTTGTAAAATTTAGCCCATAAGGCAAGTCATTAGCCCTAAAGACAGTCCAATTTGGAAGTAAAACTGAAGAGTGAATTTCTCTTCATATCTAACTCTCCTCTCCGTGAAGGCTTATCCTATTGCAGACATTTTCCAGACATTTACTAGTCTGGCTCTTTCCCCATCTATAATCACCATCCTTATAGCCACTGGTTTAAAAGTTACTGAAAAACAAAAATTAGTGGTGGAATGCTCCTGTAGTCCCAGCTATTAGGGAGGCTGAGGCAGGAGGATTGCTTGAGCCTTGCAGTTTGAGGTTGCAGTGAGCTATGATGATGCCACTGCACTCTAGCCCAGGGCAACAGACTGAGACTCATATACACTCACACTCTCTCTCTCTCTCTTAT